CACGAGGACGAAGCGAGAACGATGAGTACAACAAATCTGAGCGCGAGAAAAATACTGCCAGAGTGCCGGAATGCGACATAGTGCCAAAACCAATGAAGATCGAAAATTAAAACTTACCCCAAAATTAAATAAAACTAATTTTATTTAATTTTAATAAAATTAAATAAAACATAACATGAGTGTATCACTGAGTAATATGAGTGCGAGATAACTGATGTAATTAAATAGTTTGAAATGTTGACGGAGAGCAGAGCAGAAAAGTCCGTAAATTCATAGCGTGGTTGATGTTTGCATTATAAAAGATCAGTTTTCAACTTGAGGATAGTTTTCAGTGTGGACTGTCCTCATAATTCGTGCTCATTTACTAGTTTTAATGAGTAAAAGTGAAAGTAAAATTTCTATCCTATTTTGTCTTTTATTATGAACAGACACAATGCAAATTTCATGTTCATTTTCCGACTTTAGTCCCACACTAATTGCATGTTTGATCATTTTTGTTCTGTATTATTCTGAATATCACTATTTACTAAAATATATTTCCAATGTTATGTTCTGAAAAATTCAGAAAATGAACAAAATTGATGCATTCGTCAAGTATATCGCGTTTTCTTCCTTTCAAATCTGTTACAACTGACAACTGATTACTTCATTCTTTATAAATGAATTCGTTAGATAACATTATTTAGACATAATATTCTTTGTAAAACAGCCCATTTTTGCTTGAAAATATTCTGCTATGAACGATGTAAACAAGCAACAATTCCTTGAGAATCTTTTGTGCGTTTGTGTAATAATGAATTCTTATAAGCATAGTAGATAAAGTGATTTATAAAGACTTTTTTTCATCTTTTCACGCTTCATAAACATTTTCAATTTATGCACATCATTAGGAAATTTATAAATTTAGTGCATCTTTCTTGGGCAATTTTGATTTTGCACAGTACTGAATATAGTAAAGCAATGAAGAATTGTTAGTCGTTCTATCAACTAATTGATCTGAATTATTACTGCTGTGTTCTTCTCAGTCTGTTGTAATAAAATTAATTATTCAGACAGCTCCTTTCTTCAGCAGGAAATTCGAATTCCATATTCATCGTTCCAGCATCGAACCACTTTTCCACTTTACTTGTGCGAGTAATGTAACTGCTAGGAATACCAAGCGTTACTCTTCTCTTGCATAGCTAAACGCTTGATAGTCATTATTTTTATGAAAATTAATTATATCAATTTAAAGACTGGAAACGTTCTCACTTTTTGGCTTTGAAATTAGTTATATTTTTCAACTACAGTTTATAGCCGTGTAATGCTTTTAGCAGATTTAAATATACGAAACAATCGTACAAATACTTGGTGTTCCATATACACATTCAAATGTTAATATTTTTTTAAGTTCATTGTCTTTTGCTGAATTACTTGCTAACTCACATTATCCATCAATTTATAATGATAATTAAAATTATAAAATTATTTATCTGACTCTTTTACGCTGCACATGTGGCAATATTATGAATTATATTGTCACCTTGATTCCATCATTACATTTGTGATAAATTTTAAGCACAACATTCATTCCAAATATCGATCCAAGACCACCTTGAAGACTAAACCTTCCATCTTCAGCAGTCTTAATTTCTGCTAGTTGCTTGTCAGTACCTATTAGTGTGTTGTTGCAATAACTGCCAATATAAAAAATAAGCCAGCATTAAATAATTCTCATGACTAAGCATTTTATGTCATAAATTTGCACCAAAGTTAAGCATTAATTTAGAAAATTAAAAAATCGCAGCATCTTGCTTTCTTTTACCCGAGCCCTCATTTCATTATCTACTATTCTTGCATTTCACATACGTCTACAAATGGCGCCAAAAATTTTTTTAAACTTTCAATACTGATTTATATTTTAGAATTGCTTAAAAAAGTTTGCCAAAAAAATCAATCATTTTTTTTAAAAATTTACTGCAAATCCATGAGCACTGACCAATTAAGTTTTTGTCCCATAACTTTACTTGTGTTTTAGCTAAACTTTGATTGCCACAAACTAGTCGACCAAGAACTCCAATTGATTGCTGTCTAAATCCAGCAACTTTTTTTCCAGAAGGTATCGACATCACGATTAAAACCCACATCATGATTTGTTGCAACATTGTTTCTGTTTAGTTGCGTTTGATTCTAAAATTTCAAACCATAGCCATTTCAGACTGCAACGCAAGAAGTTTTTTTGTCTAAAATAACAGCAAAATTTAAATTGAAATTTTTTAATGCTCAAGAATTCTAATATCACAAATATATAAGTTTGTTTGATAGCTTGGTTGATAGCGTAAAACTATCTTCAATTAGTAAAATTTCAAGCTTCATTCATTGATTTTTTTAGAATTATCGCAGATAGTATAATTCATAATTAAATGCACAACGCAAATCGGATTACATTTTTAAATAATAAAGTTTGTATCTCTACTAAATAGTCACACAATTTAAGTATTCAATTTGACAAGACCTGAAGGAAAACTTGTTTAACGACATGAGTTGTGAAAAAACACTTTACGGTATAATTATCAATACAAATTGTAGTGATTCAATTATTTGCCCACAATAAAGTAAGCAATAACTCATCAAATGATTTGTGTTGTCATAAAGTAAATAACGGCACGTGCAGCACGTGCGGTTGCTGCGAATTTCAATATAGTAAAAGCTAGGAAAACACCAGATTTTGTTTGTTAAGTTTGCTAAAACTTCGTAAGGGTTGGTTTATGTGATCTTAAAAAAACGGAAAATTTGTTACTATTTGTCTACTGACTTTAGTTAATTTATTGTGAAAAGGATTGCATTCAAAAAAGTGTAAGTAGAGAAAATACTTTCTATAAATTGAACAAATAGCGATTCAATCAAGAAAAAATTAGTTCAGTGACAGAGAGTATTTCCTCATATTTGAAATAAAAGAAAAACTAAGTACTTATAACTGATTTAATGAATCGAACAAAACCTGATTAAATTTCTTTTGTACTTTTAGAAACTATGGTTTAGAAGCAAAAGAAATTGTTAAATAGTGCTCCATTTCAAATTTTGATCTAAATTATGTCTTTGGAAATATTGTTCTCAAACTGTACTAGCACTTTCGAAGTTATATTTGAATTGCAATTTCAAATGGCATTTAAAATTTGAACTAACAGCAAACACAGCCTATAATAATGATGAACTAAACATCATTATACAATCTAAAATATTCTAACACAGAGAACATCACAAATGTATTTCATCGAGATTTCATTTTTTTCGTGAAATTCACTTTTACAGAAACTTATAATATATGAAACAGCCTTCATAACTTTTCGCAAAATTCAGATTTGTTATAAGTTATTACTTCATGTGTTCATAAATAATATAAAATTTCCTTAGCATCATTGATTGTTACTTGTAATTACTTAGAAATTCAGTTAAACTTCAAACGATTGGTGCAATAATTGATAACAACTTTTAATAGGTGAAACATTTATTATATGAAGGAAGCATGAAAAAGGAAAATACGAAAGTATCATTCTTTGCAGCAACAATGTTCTCAGTAGGAACATTTTGCTACATCACTAGCTATGACTTTTGCAATAAGCAGATTATTTTATGCATGAAGCATATTTTAATACTAATTTTTTCATACATTTGGTAATGTTTGCCTATAGTGTGTAATATTCACTTCTTTTATGCCATTTTTTAAAATGACTTCTTGACCAAAGTTTGCCTTGTTAACCCCCGAAAGAAATGACTGCAATTTATTACTGCATAACATCACATAAATAATATCAGTATCATTCACAAGCGATTTTGCCATGAAAACTTGTCATAGCAATGCCAAATGCCTGCAATGCCGACAGTGGATATCGGAAATCCATTGTGAATGTATCATAACCAATTCGTCCGAACTGCATTACAATGTATTTGGCTAAAATTGGCAACATAAAGCATTTGAATTATCCTCATAAATCACAAAATTCTATATCTTACAAATGTAATAACATCACCTCCAGATAGTCGGTTACATTGAAAAAAGCAATGGAGAAAACATAATGGAGGGAAAAATACAGCGGAGAGTCCTTGAAGGGACAGCCTCTCTCCGCTGTTGTGCCTTTCATCATGGACACCCGTTAGTCGTAGGCTCAATATCAGATATCCAAAGATGGAGGTTTCCACCGATCAAAGAATGCATGTAACGAACCATTTACTATTCGTGGATGATCTCAAGCTCCTTGCTGCGAATGAGGATATCATGGAAGCTATGGCAGAAGAAGTTGAAAAGTTCTTTGAAATAGTAGGTTAGAGGTGAATCCAACGAAGTGAGCCACTAATACTGAGGTATGCGCTGATAAGGCCGTACTCTTGGAAAGAACTCAAGGGTATAAATACCTTGGCGTAATGGAGGACAGGACTAGCGCTCCGACTCGAGAAAGCTACGATAAAGTGCGAGCAGAGATTTTGGCGAGAATTGAACGACTAGCCAAAACTGCACTAAACGGGAAGAACATTATCAAGGCAGTAAATGAGCACGCCATAGGGTTAATTAATTAAATACTGGGATGCTCAAACTGTAACTAGAGGACTTCCCACCAATTGACCATGATATCAGACAGTTACTAATTAACAAGGGAATTCACATCCAACCTGCATGTTTGGAGAGACTGCACCTGCCATGAGACGAGCTAGGACGTGGACTTGATAATGTTGAGCAGAAGAGTGAGCTTATGCTTCTCCAACTACATAATGTTCTTATAGATACTACACACCCATTTGTACCAGGAGGACAGCGATTCTGAAGCAGGAGAAAGCTCATAACACGTACTTGGCATTTATTGTACCCTATCTAAAGACTAGGTACGACCTCGCAGAAAATCCTACCGTTGAAA